ACGACCCTGGCAGTGTCATAAGGGGGAGGAGTACTGGCAGTGTGACATAGGAGGGATGGGGAGAGTGGGAGGAGGCTTTAGAGGAGGAATGGGTGATAGGGAGGTGGGTGAGAAGAGAGGGGTGGGGAGGAGAGAGGAGGGGGGGTAAGGTGCTAAGCAATATTTAAAATGAGAGATGTTAAGGAGGGTTGGAGGAGGGAGCAGTGAGCAGGAGAAGTGGGGAGGATGCGTCACTTTAATGGGGGTGTAAGTGGAGGGGAGGAGGTTAGTTGCAATGGTCGTGGTTGTTATTGTTGTCTGAACAGTGGTGCCACCTAGTAACAGTGCCACCTGAGTTAAAAGTGCCACCCTGGGTCGTGAGGTGCCTCCCTGGGTCGTGGTGCCACCTGGGTCATGAGTGCCTCCCTGGGTCGTGAGTGCCTCCCTGGGTCATGAGCCACCCTGGGTCATGAGTGCCCGGGTCGCAAGTGCCTCCTGGTCAAGTGCCACCCTGGGTCATAGTGCCTCCCTGGGTCATGAGTACCTGGGTCATGAGTGCCACCCTGGGTCATGAGTGCCCACTCCCTGGGTCGTGAGTGCCACCCTGGGTCTGAGTGCCACCCTGGGTCATGAGTGCCTCCTGGGTCATGGTGCCCCTGGGTGTGAGTGCCTCCCTGGGTCGTAAGTGCCACCCTGGGTCATGAGTGCCTCCCTGGGTCGTGAGTGCCCCTGGGTCATGGTGCCACCTGGGTCGTAAGTGCCTCCCTGGGTCGTGAGTGCCTCCTGGGTCGTGAGTGCCACCCCTGAGTGTGAGTTTCCCTGGGTCATAGTGCCTCCCTGGTGTGGTGCCACCTGGGTCATGAGTGCCACCCTGGGTCATGAGTGCCACCCTGGGTCATGAAGTGCCACCCTGGGTCATGAGTGCCACCCTGGGTCATGAGTGCCTCCCTGGGTCATGAGTGCCACCCTGGGTCATAGTGCCACCCTGGGTCATGAGTGCCCACCCTGGGTCATGAGTGCCACCCTGGGTCATGAGTGCCACCAGGTCATGAGTGCCACCCTGGGTCATGGTGCCTCCTTGGGTCATGAGTGCCACCCTGGGTCATGAGTGCCACCCTGGGTCATGAGTGCCACCCTGGGTCCAGTGAGTGCCACCCTGGGTCATGAGTGCCACCCTGGGTGAGTGCCACCCTGGGTCATGAGTGCCACCCTGGTCATGAGTGCCACCCTGGGTCATGAGTGCCACCCTGGGTCATGGAGTGCCACCCTGGGTCATGAGTGCCTCCCTGGGTCATGGAGTGCCACCCTGGGTGTCGTGAGTGCCTCCTTGGGTCATGAGTGCCACCCTGGGTCGCATGAGTGCCACCCTGGGTCATGAGTGCCACCCTGGGTCATGAGTGCCTCCTGGGTGTGAGTGCCACCCTGGGTCGTGAGTGCCACCCTGGGTCGTGAGTGCCACCCTGGGTCGCAGAGTGCCACCCTGGGTCATGAGTGCCACCCTGGGTCTGGTGCACCCTGGGTCATGAGTGCCACCCTGGGTCGTGAGTGCCACCCTGGGTCATGAGTGCCACCCTGGGTCGTGAGTGCCACCTGGGTCAAGGTGCCACCCTGGGTCGTGGTGCCACCCTGGGTCATAAGTGCCACCCTGGGTCGTGAGTGCCACCCTGGGTCATGAGTGCCACCCTGGGTCGTGAGTGCCACCCTGGGTCATGAGTGCCACCCTGGGTCATGAGTGCCTCCCTGGGTCATGAGTGCCTCCCTGGGTCATGAGTGCCACCCTGGGTCATGAGTGCCACCCTGGGTCATGAGTGCCTCCCTGGGTCGTGAGTGCCACCCTGGGTCGTGAGTGCCACCCTGGGTCGTGAGTGCCAGGTAACCTTACATCTGTCGGCACTCATGGACAGGTGAGTTAAAGAGGCTAGGACGTGGCACTCAGCCCTCCACAGTACCAGGTCACCTACACCATCTCTTAACCTTTAATGACGTCACTGTAATACTGGTTGACCTTTCATGATGCAATACCACTCACAGGTGACCTTTTATGACGTCACAGTGGGTATAAATGACCTTGGATGACGTCACAGTGGTACAGGTGACCTATTATGACGTCACAATAGATACAGATGACCTAGACATCTATTGACCCTTGAGAGATATTTGTTTATTTATTTCCCTTATTCCTCTTTCGTTATTATTCTGTTTCGTGTTTCTATCTTTATATTGAGTTCTTTCTTTATTTCTACCTCTCTTATTCATTATTTGTTTATTTATTTATTCTTCTTTAATTTTTCTCATTCTTCTTCTTTCTTTCCTTTTCTTTTCTTTCTATTCATTTCCTTTTCTTTCAACCTCTTTTGTCTTGTTTCTTAATTATTAATATTTTTCTTTTATTCCTTTTTTTTGTATTTTTTTCGTTCCTGCTTTTATCTCTCTCTCTTTCTCTCTCTTTCTTTTACTTGCTCTTAACTCTGTCTCTCTGTCAGTCTGTCTGTCTCTCTTTTACTCGCTCTTAACTCTCTCT